CAACATTTTTGTTTGGTTGTCGGAAATATTATTTTGGTAATTTTACATTACTAATAGTGGATTTTTTGGGATATATGTTATTACCTCTATTTCTTTATATTATTAGATTACTGTCGTTTTGGACTAAAATGCCCTTAATTTTTTTTTTCCAAAAATATGTTTATTCTGTCATTGAATAATAAAAATTCTACGAATATTAAATTATAAATTTATCTTTAAACTATTTTAAATTTACAAAAAAATCTATAATTAAAATTTTATATGAAGTTCAAGGGGTTAAAATAAAATTTTACCTTTTCATTAAACTTTTTTATATTTTTAATTTTGTAAAAAAATTATATAAATTTATGAATATAAATTTTTTTAAAAAAATATATAAATATTTTCCAACTTGTTAAAAAATAAATATATAATAAGGATAATTTGGTCAAATATACATTCTAATAATCTTTTATTCATTTAACCAAACACGGTAATTTTACACTCTTGCTAAACCAACCAAACACAAAATATAATATTCCCAGTAATCCTATTCCCTAATCTTTTATTCCCACTGATAATCTTACATTCTGTGAACCAAACGCACCTAACCAAAATAAAGTAGGGGTTTTTTGGCCCATTAGACAGACGCCAAAAATATTTGGCCCAATAGGCCATTCAAATATTTATTTTGTAATATACGATAAATGCTACAGTAATTGGGTAAATTGTCATTTTGACGTGACGAGTTTATTTGAAAATAATTTTTTAATGTTCATAAACAGGTCCCTTGAATTTAAAAAAAACTAGTTGTTATGAAACGACCAACTTTTGAATTTTAAAAATGTAACCATTGAAACTCGTCATATCGACGTGCGGGTTTATTCAAATATAATTTAAAAATAATTAATTAAACAAAAATATTACATATAATTAACAAAATAATTTTATTACAAAATAACTAACAAAATACAATGTATAATAAATTTATTTATATTTTTGTATGTTTCTTGAGAATGAGGTACTAAACATCATTCCACTTTGAGATCCACCTTCCAAATACAGTTATGGAGTACTTAAGGTATTTGACACCATCATTACTGTCATTGGCTCGAGTTAACTACCTTGTTGATCATATATAATATGATCCCTTTCACCTTCACTCGCATATTCGGTCGAAGATGTTTGAGTATTTTGCGTTGCATTCCATGAACCTCTAACCTAATTTGGATGGCTCTCCGTTGAAGCATGATATGGAGGGTAAAAACCATAACTGGTCTCAGATACAAAATACTTGGCAAAGCAAAAGACATATGTCAATAATGATGTTTTCTTGCCCTTTACGAACTTGACCTTCATTTGTTCACACTGTTTTTCTCTTCCGATGTTGTTAAATATGGTTCCCCATTTGCTTTATAATTTGGAGATGGGAGAAATGTCGAAATCAAGTTCAGGAGCTTTAATGTTGAAACACATAGGGAGAGATAAACGTCGCTCATTCCATTGTTGAATGTATATAACATTCTTCCTCGATCAATTATTTTTATGCTTTCCACGCGTATCAATTCTATGGAGCACGTCTATATCAAATATTTGCGTAGGAATTGATTGATGAGACATAAATTGTCGCAACACTCTATATGCGGTATGCATCTCAACAATCGCAAAATGTAACAAATGCGTAATGACACACCATAACTCCTTCAAAAAATCCTAGTGTCGGTAACTGGTAGATCTCAACGTCATAATACGAAATACAAGAAAATGATAAACATTAATTATAAAAGTTAGTATAAATAAAACTAAAAATGTAAAAATTAATATTTACCGCATATTGATTGGTGATATCGATCCTCATCCGTATATCTTTTCTATTTGCACTGACAACTTGGTCTCGGTAATTTTATGTTGTCATCTAAATAATATAAAAAATAAAAATTACAAAAAGAATTAAAAATTTACTTAAAATGAAGTTAAAAAATTACCTTGTAGCAAGAGGAAACTTAACTTGGGCTATTGTAATTGGCGTAAAAAACGAGAATCGATATAAAGCCCACGAATGTAGCAAGATTAGACAATCCACAACATAGCTTTTTGACCCATTTCGATGATTATAGCCTTGCAAAGTTTCCCGTATAAAAGTGTTAAAATGGTTGAGCCTCAACTAGTGTTGTAACACTTAGTAAAATTATCCAATATCAGATTACCATATTTATCAAATAACAGTATCCCTCCAATCGATTAAAGCATACACTTGGCTGCAATCATATCGGCAGACTTCGTTGGCTCTGAGAAGAACTTGAAGCTCTCTGCCAAGTATTTCGATCCTTACAATATCATTGAAAAGATTGGATTAGTAGCATACAAGCTTCGTTTGTCACCCCTCCAAGATTCATCCAGTTTTTCACGCGAGTTTATTGAAGAGAAAGATTGGGACAAACACGATTACCTCTCTCGATCCTCCATAGGTTGAGATAATAGACAATTGAAAATTTACCCAGCTATTGTTATTGACAAGCGAATTGTTAAGAGTCAAAATCGACTTGTTACTCAACTTCTTATTCAATGGTCGAATTTGTCACCGTAGAACGCCACTTGGGAGGATTATTCAGCCTTGAAGTCTCATTTATGATTTCAATCCTTGGGGTCAAGGATCCACTGCAGGGGACAGAGAAATCAAAGATGAGAGGTGAATTGGGACTGAGTACGATGAAATTAGGGCTGAAAGAGACGAAAATTAGAGAATTAGGGATTGAGGGCTTAGTTGAAGAAAAGTGGAGCCAAAACGACAATGGTATTGGCGTTGAAGAAGTGGGCTCGAAGCAAGCTGATCCAATTGGAGCAAGTGAGGCTGATCTGTTGGGCAAGTAGAATCCAATCTAGTAGCTTTCAAGGAGCACAACCACTGTAATAGTCCAGCTGGAAAATTAACAGAATCCGTACATTGTACATAATAAAATAGAATGAACGAATGTATTGGAATTTTTATGAAAAGTTTAACGAAAGCTCTGAATTCCTTTTTCCTTTCTTCCAATTCTGAATCCTTTCTTCCACAGACGTAACATTACATTAAATGTATTATAACTTATTTTATCTACACTTTAATACTTATAACACATGTAACATAATTAATCATTTAATTTTATATCATATTTTATGATAACATTATACATTATACATGTGTGTCCATAATTATGGATTTTAATCTAACGTACCATAGTTGCATCTTGACATAGATAGATATTGTTAATAGAGTAGTAATAACGACGATCTAAAAATATTTTTAAGGGTGGATACAAATATATATATAACAACATAAAATTTATATATAAAGTAGATATAAATAAAACTTCGGAATTGACACGATGAATAAGACAAAAAATTATTCAAACAAAATTTAAATTTCAGGTGCACATTTACATCTATTGGATCCGCCACTCAGTAGTAAAATATGAAATATCGAACAAGTGGTGATTGTAACCCTTGTGCTTCGTTGTCTATGTTATTGTCTCAGAATTTTAGTTTAGGCAAACAGCATAAATGCATGATGCCAGAGCGTTTTATTGGCTCTTGCTTCAGCCCACAATGAATTTTTTTCTACATAGTTCTCTAATTTTATCCTTCTTTTTATAATTGCTAAAATTTTATTGCCCAAACTAATTCTAATTTTGTATATGGACATGCAACTTTAATATGGGTGTGCGGAGAAAACAACAACAACAAAAATAATAGTTTAAATAGTAATTTTTGTTAGATTGAATTTATTATATGTAATGAAAATGAGTAATTCTTAACTTAATAAGTGAAAAATATTTTAAGTCGTTAAAGTAAAAGTTAGCTTATATAATACATGTTTGCCAACGAGTGTTGGCATAAGTGGTTAGAATTCAGGAGTTTGAGTTTGTAATAAGGTTAAGTTTGAATACTACCATCATCACTCTAGGTGAGCAATCTTAAAGTCCTATGTGAATCCCAATTGAATCTTAGATATGCTATGACCCTGGATTGGAAGAACCACCTCTGACCTAAATTTTTATGTACAAAAAAAAATGCATGTTTAGCATTACTTACGAAATTATAAAAGCGCTTTCATTCCAAAAACACATTTTATAAATAACATTAAATATGATATGAATCGAATAATTTATCATAAACAAACATAACATGTCTTGGAATTTAATTTGTAAGAACTAAAAGGAAAGGGAAAAAAGGAATAGATGAACAGTTGTGCAACTTGCAGAGCTTCCTACAAGCAAGAGTAAAATAAAATAAAATTATATATATCTCACTAAGCATTTATTGGAAATGTGAATAATAGGGGAATATAATCTGGATATTGCTATTATGTAAAACGTGTGTTTGAGTACAAGATTGATGCTCCTTATATACTACTACTCTTAGCTGTATCAGCTGCTAATACAACCACCTTAACCGAGTAACTAACCAAAACTAACAAAACTAACTTGCTAACAACCTTAGCTGTTATAACAGCTTCATCTTCAAGAAGCTTCTAAGTATACTGCTAACATTCTCTCTACTTCTTCTTCTTCTGATCCTCTCCTGATCGTGAACAGACTTGCACTCCAATCTTGTCACGAAACATTTCAAAATCTGAACAATTGAAAAGATGAACAATTGATTCGAAAGTGCTGATGTTTCCTTCCGTTCACTTTGAATCGAAAGTGTCGATGCTTCCTTTCGTTCTTCTTGAATCGAAAGTGCCGATGCTTCCTTCCGTTCACTTTGAATCGAAAGTGCTGATGCTTCCTTTCGTACTTATTATTCACCTTCATTTCTTTCTTCTTCATCCTCTTTTACAAGGTTCCTTGAATTTTTTTATGGACTCTTAGTTGTGAAGCTTTCAAGTCCCATGACACTTTGAGATAGAAGCAACAAAAGTAACAAAATGAATACAAAATAAAACTTCTGTTTACATACACAAAAGAATTATACTACTATGCAGAAATAGCGGTGATAGCCTTGCCATTGGCACCAGTATAGAAACTGGATTCTGTTCAACATCTACCCTTCAAGCACCAACCTGACCAAAGAGCCACTTGCGTATCTCTGGAAGCTTTTTATTGAATGCAACATCTAACCGTGCATCCAAGGTGTTCTCACAAACAATCTTTCCATCTCTAAAACATTGTACCTATACAACATTCCTGAATCAACGCCCTCAATTAGTTTCTTTTTTACCCAGAGGTCCCAAATCCAGTCAACCAATACGGTTCCATTCTCATCCACGGGCCTCTTTCCCGTAGCCACCTCCAGGACAACCACTCCGAAGCTGTAAACGTTTGGTTTTCACAGTTGGAACACCGGTATAAACGTACTCGGGTGCCAGATATCCTATCGTCCCAGCTGGTATCGTTGCATCTCTTAAAGCGCAACAATGTTCGTACACTTCGACTAAACCGAAATCTCCGAGCTTGGCATTGAACTCGTCATCAAGCATGATGTTGTAAGTTTTCACATCTCTATGTATTATCTGTCTTTCACATTCTTCATGTAAAATTGAAAGAGCAGAAGCAACCCTGAGAACTACCTTTAATCTCAAGCTCCAAGAAAGGGTAGTTGTTGATGAAACTGAGGTTTTGTGAATGTGTTGGTAGAGGCTTCCATTGGACAAGTACTCATAGACCAAGACCAACTCAGATTCCTCATAACACCATCATTGAAGCTGAATCAAGTTACAGTGGTTTAGCCAACCGGCCATAATGGCAAACTCTGTGTTGAAAAGATTACGAGTGAATGCTTTTCCGTTGAACTGATCAAATCGCTTCACCACGACAGTTCCAGTCGACGGAACATAACCTTTATAAACAACTGCTGAACCACCTTTACCGATGATTCAACTCTTATAAAACCCCATTGTAGCTGATTTTATCTCTGCGAGTGACCATCTTGTTGGTACATTGTTCGTTTGAACTCTAGGAATTGCACTCTTGATTCCTTTTGCCAAACCTCTCTCTTCTTCCTCATCGCAAAGAAACAAAATGAAACTGCTGTTACATCAACTGAAACAGAGATCTCGTTAGCTCTCTCCTACGCTTCTTGGCGGATGAAGCTCACCATTTGCTGGATCGGCTTGGATGTGAACGACACCAGTTTAGCAGCCGTTGCCGCTGCCGATGACATTTTCTCCTCCTCTTCCATGCAGTGGTAGAAAACAAAATAAAGTCAGGATCATTTGGCGAATGATACCATATTGGAAATGTGAATAACAGGGGAATATAATCTGGATATTGCTATTATGTAAAACGTGTGTTTGAGTACAAGATTTATGCTCCTTATATACTACTACTCTTAGCTGTATCAGCTGCTAATACAACCACCTTAACCGAGCAACTAACCAAAACTAACAAAACTAACTTGCTAACAACCTTAGCTGTTATAACAACTTCATCTTCAAGAAGCTTCTAAGTATACTGTTAACATTCTCTCTACTTCTTCTTCTTCTGCTCCTCTCCTGATCGTGAACAAACTTGCACTCCAATCTTGTCACGAAACATTTCAAAATCTGAACAATTGAAAAGATGAACAATTGATTCAAAAGTGCTGATGCTTCCTTCCGTTCACTTTGAATCGAAAGTGCTGATGCTTCCTTTCGTTCTCTTGAATCGAAAGTGCCGATGCTTCCTTCCGTTCACTTTGAATCGAAAGTGCTGATGCTTCCTTTCGTACTTCTTATTCACCTTCATTTCTTTCTTCTTCATCCTCTTTTACAAGGTTCCTTGAATTTTTTTTATGGACTCTTAGTTGTGAAACTTTCAAGTCCCATGACACTTTGAGATAGAAGCAACAAAAGTAACAAAATGAATACAAAATTAAACTTCTGTTTACACACACAAAAGAATTATACTACAATGCAGAAATAGCGGTGATAGCCTTGCCATTGGCACCAGTATAGAAACTGGATTCTGTTCAACATCTACCCTTCAAGCACCAACCTGACCAAAGAGCCACTTGCGTATCTCTGGAAGCTTTTTATTGAATGCAACATGACCAAAATCTTTTCTACTCAAATTCAGGGATCCAATCCCTTAATTCTTAATTGAAAATGGAAGAGAAAGAAGTCCTAAATTTCATTCAAATCATAGCTACTACTCCAATACACAATAAATTCAATCCATGCAGGGGAGCAAACAAACATCTGCATTAAAGCCTTTTGGTGGCTTCTGATTTATCCAAAATTTTAAGCCACAATAGGCATAAATCCATAGGATTTAATGACACAAAATAAGTTTTTAAACATTCATAAACGCTTATATTAATCACTAACAAGCCTGGTGAATTGTAACTCAAATCAAATCCACTTGACAAATAATACTACATGAAAAGGAAGCATTAATTATGTGACATGTTTGATTATAGAGAAAATAAAGGGTAGAATCTATTAAGCTAGTAAATGTTTCATTGTAGGGTATTTTGACTCTTTACTTATCTTGTCCTTTAAGATCCCAATATAAGGTTGGGAATTTGTCTGATAAATCCAGAACCAACAACAATTCCCAATCCATGAACTGCAAGCCTCATGCTTTGGACAATACTTTGCAGCCTGTAAGAAGCTAAACACTATTTGGTGTACAAAATACTCAAAGGTGAGATGATTGTGGTATCACCATTTAATATAATGACATATAGGTATAGAGGTGAAGCCATTTTTTTAGTTGAGTCACATCACGTATAATGAATTGTTTTAGTTTAATTATCGATATCTAATCTTTTTATTAACTAATTCGTATTAAGTATTACGGAGATTCATCATGGAGGACAATCCTCCCAACACAACACAATTTGCTACATTCACAACATTAAAATTTGAACTTTTAATTTTATTTAAAAGATGTAGTGTCTTATTTCACTAAACTAACTATTAGTGATAATTATCACTAAACTGTTTAAACCCAAAACAACACTTTCTTTAATTACCGAACTCCTTTCATATGTTCAACTATAATATTTTTAATGTATAAACTTAAAGTAACATTAAATTAATGTTAATGCCTTGAAAAGTAAAATGAAAACCCTTCATGTAAAGAGTAATAAAAGTATCTAAATTCCATGCCCATTTGACCAACTATCGATCTATGCGGTGCAGGGACCATTTTTCTTGTTCCAAAACCTTTTATCTTTATTTTTATATTTTCTTATAATTTAAATCTATGGTAATAAAAAATAGAGTAAAAAAACCATGAGTCATGACACAGTTCCATAGCAAAAACTACCCTCTTTTTGACCATTCCAAATTCACTTTAAACCAAACTCAAAACCCTTTTTTCTCTTTAAAACCCAACGAGTTAAAAGTTGGTCAATCAATCAATCCACCCATCAACCTTTGGGTATACTTTTTAAAATAATAGGTCATCTTTTGGAAAGGCAGGCAAAAATTCAAAGCTAGGGTAGGGGGTAACTCAACACACTTAAACTAATTGGAAATTGCATGTTCTTAACGGTTTAAATCCAACTTTTTTGCATGGGAATTGCATTTGATTAATTATTACAGAATTTTGGGATATAAGCAAAGACCTAAGCCGATATAGGTAAAATTGGTCCGACCTTGCTTCACGTGAACTCCCCGACCATCACGCCTTTGGTTTAGACTTTAACAATGAAAATTTCAATGAAACAACCATTAGAGGAAGATTACTTGACCCTAGTTTATAATTCATTTTTTTTAAAATAGTATGAGATGATCACAAAATAATATATGTTTAAAATTTCACGTACACATCCTATAGACACAGTTCGAATATGTATCCTTTAAAAAATAACATTTTTTTTACTAATGACATACTCGATAAATTCCTTTTATAATTTATAAAGTCATGTAATATATACAATTATGAAAAGATTTACCTTTTGGTTCTACCTTGGGTCTTGGAGCATCTGAGGATACATATCGGAGTTTTCACCGACTATAATCTCTAATTAAATAAGGTGTAATTTTGGGTATGCATGAGTCCTCCAATGGGGATGGACATAGTTGGCAAACACTTGGAAAAAAGCAGAGTTTTTAGCCATGCAAAATGAATGTATTCAAGCACACACTCCTTTGCATGCTTGTATACACCATGATTAAATGGATTTAGCTCAATATCCATCTTATTATTAGTCATGTGTGCCTATCTATAGCCTTTATTGCATCACATGCCTTTAGTAAAAAGTAGATAAGTATTATATAACTTTATTTAATTTTATACAACATGTTTAAGTCTAATATTTTTTCCTTTATAGAAAAGTAGATAACTTTATATTTAGTGTAGTCTAATTAGTAGTTAAAAGGGGTCAGTCATAAATTTAATGAACCTGTTGTAATAAATCACTAAATAATTCACCATCATTTGACTTTTATGGGATCTCTCGGATTTCTTAAAAGAAAATTAATTAGTTAGTTAAAAAACACGAATAAAAAGTGAAGTTTGCACTAATTACTCTGTCTAATTGCAACAGAAACAACCTAATCATTCACCTAAACACATACGCACTTGAAAAAGACAAAAGAGTATCTTTCTGTGTGGTAAGAAGAGTACAAGCACAAAAGCTTCCCCTTGGGCTTTGGTTCTAAGAAGCAACAAACACTTTTGTCAGTGGGTTGTTGGATGCGTACATTGACGCATCACAATACGTATTGGACACATAAAAACATATGTTCAAAAAATAAATTCTACTACGGTTAAACATTGTTAAAATAAGATTGATTTTTTTTAATTTTTGTTTATAACAAATATTTGTTATTATCTTATGAAATTAAAGAATTCTAATGTTATTGTGCCCGTATTTGGAGGTACCGCAATATGGTTTGTCCCTTGGAAACCGATTTGGTTTTCCTCTATATAAACTCAGCTTTACTCAAAACTTTGCAGCAACATAAACAAAGAAAGGTAGAGGGGAAACAAAAATGGCAGACAATCTTGTTGTTTCTAACGTTAACCTCGAGAAGCTTCTCAGCATGAAAGGAGGCAAAGGCGAAGGCAGCTATGCCAACAATTCCCAAGCTCAGGTCTTTCTTTTTATTTACATTTTCAAAGTTTTTTTATATGATTATAGCAACAAATGAATATCTTATTTTTCAATGATCCATGCAGGCTTTACATGCTCGTTCAATGCTTCACCTCCTCGAAGAAGCCCTAGACAGGGTTCAACTACGTTCCCCCGACGTACCCTTTTCGGTGGTCGACTTGGGGTGTTCCTGCGGCAGCAACACCATCTACATCGTCGACGTTATCGTCAAGCACATGGTGAAGCGCTACGAGTCGTCCGGTTACGAGCCGCCGGAATTCTCTGCTTTTTTCTCCGACCTTCCTAGCAATGATTTCAACACCCTTTTCCAACTCCTACCTCCGTTGGCAAATAACGGAGGTAGTAGCATGGAGGAGTGCCTTGCTTCGAACGGACACCGATCGTATTTTGCTTCCGGAGTCCCTGGATCGTTTTACCGACGACTTTTTCCGGCTAGATCTGTCGATGTCTTCCACTCGGCATTTTCACTGCACTGGCTATCACAGGTTAGTTATTATTATTCTCTAAGCTATTAAATACATAGTTACATACACACATACATACACATGTAGAGTGAAAGTTTGTTCCCGAGGATGATCTCTAAGGCGAAAAAAACATACTATTCAAGTTGATGTCATTTCATGGTAAAAAAATACAAAAGTTTATGTGATTTTGAATGAGATTTAACCATCCCATTTTTGCCGGCATTTAGTAGGTCAAAAGTGAGTGCACAAATGATCATAGTTAATGTATACTTAAATATAATGTCATTTTCCCTCTTTTTGAAACTTGAAAAGAATTGGAACCCTAATTTCTTCAAAATGTTTAACTCTATTGTGTGTGTTTTCTAATAGGGCCACGTATATTGAATAGAATATTGTTAAAGGTTCAGGTGATATTTTAAAAAATGATTTAATTAATTTGTTATCTAGTCTCGAGTCTGATAAAATAATGTATTAAACAAGGGTAAAATATTATTACAAAAATAATATTATAATTTTTAATCAATACCAGTAGTCATCCTTAATTCTTTTAACCTGGTGCACCCAGATGCCTGAAGCTGTGTTGGACAGAAGATCGGCGGCTTACAACAAAGGGAGGGTGTTTATCCACGGTGCAAACGAGAGCACAGCCAATGCATACAAGCAGCAGTTCCAGACAGATCTGGCAGAGTTCCTGAGAGCAAGATCCATAGAGATGAAGAAGGGTGGGTCCATGTTCCTTGTCTGCTTAGGCCGAACTTCGGCGGACCCCACCGACCAAGGTGGAGCCGGCCTCCTCTTCGGGACCCACTTTCAGGATGCTTGGGATGATCTTGTCCAAGAGGTATATATACCCACTTTAATTAATCATGATTAATCACTAATAATCCCCCATGTTTACTAAAAGCTCTTCATGTTTACATGAGGCTTATGCGCCAACAGTGCTCCCCAATTGTACCTAAATCATAACTCACATCATTAGATTCTTTATATCTCAGTCATCTTATGATTTAGGTTTAAGAATATGTTTAGAATTTTAATTATTACTTAAAACTATATAATTAAAAATAAATTAGGGTTTGATTTAACATAAGAATAGTGGAGGTCTATGACAAAAAAAGACAATAATTTCACCCTATGCCCTGTTTCTGCAATTTGGCAGACCAAAAAGCAAAGGGAAACACCATGCAAAAGGGGGGAATGATTAGGTGTGTTGGGGTTTATGATGGATTGTCACTGGTCACGATTAACCTACTCCAACGTCAGCCGTTGGATGGACTTGGTTAAGAGAATCTGCTCTAGCCCTCCACTTGTCTTATTGCCATGTCGGCAGCGATATGATAGGGTCATGGGGAACCTACATGAGCAGTGACCACCACTGTTGGATCAAATTGAAAAAAAAGGAAAATGTTAAACATAATCATGGCATTTAACAAGACGACAACAACAGTCATTGAGGTCCATTTTGTTCATTGTTGATCAAAATAATCATGGAAGTTCCGTGGGACCAAACATTCTCTTGCACAGAATTCATTTAGTAGATAGCACATTTACTATCATCTCTCCTTAACTGTTCTATTCAAGCTGCCACATAGTTTATCATCATAATTTAATAATCATTTCATATATTTCCGATACATATATATTTTGTTTTATTATTTATCGACATACAACTTGATTAATGTAATTAAAATGATGTGCATGTGTTATGAAAGGGTCTTATAAGTTGCGAGAAACGGGACAATTTCAACATCCCGGTGTATGCACCAAGCCTACAAGACTTCAAGGAAGTGGTTGAAGCTGATGGTTCATTCACCATAAACAAGCTTGAGGTATTCAAAGGAGGCAGCCCTCTAGTCGTTAGCCGGCCCGACGATGCATTGGAGGTAGGTCGAGCTCTAGCCAACAGCTGCCGAAGCGTTTCCGGGGTACTAGTTGATGCTCACATCGGTGACAAGCTCAGCGAGGAGCTGTTTTTACGGGTGGCGAACCGAGGCACAAGTCATGCTAAAGAGCTGCTAGAGCAGTTGCAGTTCTTCCACATAGTTGCATCACTTTCTTTTGCCGAGTAAAAAGGAGTTTCCGGGGAGGCTAATCAAAAAGAGGTAAAAGGAGAACTAAAAAGCTTTATTTTATTATATATATATATATATATATATATATATATATATATCTCTTTTCCCTTTTTGTGTGTTAATTATCAGTATTAATTATTTAACACACAAAAGAGAGGGGGAAAGAGTTTGTTTTATTTTATTTTTTTAACTTTCATTTGTGTGATTTTTGTGTGATTATAGTTAATGAAATATTAATACTCTGTGTTCCCTTTAACCCTAATTATATAAATAAATTAAAACAAATATCTTCTAAGAGCATAATTGCAAAAACCAAAAACAAAATTTTATTCGGGTTTATATTTAAATTTAAATGTAATTACTTACAATGTTATGATATTGATTGATTTTAATTTGGACGACTTTTTCTAACCGTATACATATACAACATATGTATATTTTTGTCTTTTTTTCATATATAAGTAAGATTTGAAATGTTGTTCATCAAATATCATCTAAAATTCTATAATATATTGGTAATGCTATTTTCTAAAAGAATGACTTGTAGGGATAAAGTATTGATACAAATATTAAAGTAGTTAAAGAATAGATGAGAATAAAGAATTTATAAAAAGTTGCATAAAACTACACAACATTTAGTAAAAAGTTATATGAGTAAAGTACATAAATGGTTTCTTGACTATAGAGCGTTGTTTTGTTGAGTTTTTCGACTATTAAAAGCTACAAAATGATCTTCTGACTATAAGACGTTGTTTTGTTGAGTCATTCGATTATTAAAAGTTACAAAATGATCTTATGACTATAAGACGTTGTTTTTTTGAGTCAATCAACTAATAAAAGTTACAAACTCGACCCATTTCGTTAAAAAATTGACTATCGTATGAGTTGGGCGTTAACATGTTGATTAGGATATGCTAGTCGTTTGAGATTTTGGAATCAGATTTTATCATATATCAGTCACCAAGTTAACGTCAATCTCAAACTGCCGTCAATTTTTTAACGGAAAAGAATAAGATTAGAACATATGAAGGCGCGTGACCATTTTGTAACTTTTAATAGTTAGGGGACTCAACCAAGCAACGTCTTAAAATCCAGAGACTATTTTGTAACTTTTAATAATTTAAAGACTATTTTGTAACTTTTAATAATTTAAAAGACTATTTTGTAACTTTATCCAAAATATACTTAAAACAATTGAAGAAACGATAAAATTATTGACCAAATCACAAAGCGAACATTTCATTGTATAACATTCTAATATACATGCACACACAACAGACGGACAAAATCTGTAGTTGGAGACGTGGGTGAGTGGTAAAGCCCTATGATTATTTCATTTTTCTAGCAGAATTTCAAAGATATATTGGACGGAAAGAGTGAAGGAAATGATTTGGAGTAGATTCATCCTCCCATTCTACATTTTCCCACCATTCCTCCTCTCCTTGTATCACAATCTTCTGTCCCTTTCCACTCTCTGTGTTCAGCGGAAGCTTCCTCAACTGGGGGCATTCTTTTATTATCCCTTCCTTCAGCTTCGGGAATGGCAGCGCATGCCTGTATATCTTCTTCAGTTTCGGCAGTTTTTGCAGATCTAAAGCCTCCAGCTCCGAAAACACGTTCGAATTTTCCGTCAGCTCGTCGACTTCATCGAGTTTATCCTCACTGATTACTTCTTCCAAATCTTGGCATTCATGTATGGCCAGTTTAACCAAGTGTGGAACAAAGAATATCCATGTTGCATCCTTCAATTTCGGACAGCGTGCTAGTTTTACAAACGTGACGCTTCGAAAGCACCCTGCACTTACAATCTCCTCGTGTTCAATCTTCACTTCTTCAAGATCTTCACAATCATAGACTACTAGAACATCCAGAGGCTGTATATCGGCTAAAGCCGAAATACTCAACGACCTTGAACCTTTGAACAACTTAAGGATCACAGCTTCAACATTACAGGTCTGAAACTTGTAGGACTTCATAGCTCTTTCCAACAAAGAAAGGCTTTCAATACTAATGGTCAGCACATTCAAGTAAGCTAAACGCTCAACTTCCTCCACCAACCATTCATAACCAGACCCCACCATTTTCAATACTTTCAACTTTGAGAGATTGGATATCAGTTGTGGTGGGATTGTTTTTAAATCCAATGTGTGCTCGATATTCAAATATTTCAGATTTTCTAGGACCTTCAGCTCGACAGGAAGTGTTTTTAGTCCTGTGTAAGACAGATCGAGATGCTCTAGTGAAACCAACTGTGCAATTCCAACAGGCAGTTCTTCCAAATTGATGTTGAAGGACAAATTCAAAACCTTCAGCTTAGGCATGAAGTTGAAGAAATCGTTGATGATCACCTTCAACTCGTTCTTCCCTAGGAACAAAGTTCGGAGATTGGGGCATACAGATATCTGAGTTAGACTTTCGATTTGATTTCCCATTAGGGACACTCTTCTTACATCTTCCCAAGTTTCAGCTACAGGTTGTTCCTTTAAGTGCATACCTGCTTTTACGCAGAATTTATCCATCTCGGATTCACTAGCTATCCACAAAGCCATGTCGCGGATCACATCGTGCATCTTTACGATGTCGCTTCTTATGTCCTCTAATAAGCATGCGTCGATAAGAGAACCTAAGATGTACTCTCCCTGGTTTCGGACACTGCTCAAGTCGGTATGCTGGTCCAACAATCCTTCCCCGATCCAACAATGTATTAGCTCACTTTTTCTAATGGGAAAACCTGATGGGAATAAACAACAATATAAGAAACAAGATCTCACCTTTTCATCAGGTAAACAATCGTAACTGAATTTTAACTGAGGAAACATCTTTTTCCCTATCCCTGGGAAGACAGAGGCAGCTGATTGCCTTAAGGCCTTCATGGCATATTTCCATTCTCCAGGGGTCCTCTTGGATGACATGGGTCGTCCGATTGTAATGAGTGCAAGCGGTAGTCCGCCGCACTCATCCGCCATTGTTTCGGCTAACTTGCGAATATGTGGATGTCTATCAAGTGTCTCTGCTCCAACCTTGTCCAAAAATAGTTTCAACGCCTCTGCTTGCTGTAAACATTCCACTTTGATCTTTTTATGCGCTTCCATTTGAAAGCACACATCTATAAGGCGAGTGGTGAAGATGATTTTTGAGCCGTTCCTTTGTGTCGGGAGAGGTACCCCGATTCTCGTTAGATCGAACCACTTCCAAATATTATCCAACAACAGTGCAAACTTCTTTTTACATAATATGTTGAAGATGTCTGCAGCTTTCTCATCAATCCTCTTGTGCTTCCAAGCCTCGTCCAAAAACCCTATCGTTTTTCCAATCTCGTCTTGGACTTTCTCGATTTGCAGATCTTGTGACACAACTACCCAAATTACTTGATCGAAATCATTCGACATGAAAGTTGAACAATGAGGGTTTTTGGATGGGACAGTCGTTTTTCCAATCCCAGCAACGGGTAATGAGGGTATCGCATGAAAGTTGGATGGAGAAGAAGTTACCCATAGACGGTTTTGTCTACTCAAGAGAAGAGTTGAACAATGAATGATCAGAAAATGGTTTGGTTTGTTAGGAAAAAAAGGAGAAACAAAGAAGAATTCACATCTTGAAAATGATAGCTACCAGTAATTGGGTTATTTTAAAGCACCAGGAGCCACCTGGTATCCTTTTTTCTTTTATTCTACAAATCTTGAGATTGACTAGACAGCTCCATAATTGTTTATAAATCTTGAAAATGACTCCACACTTGTACAAATTTGAAGTCAATATGTTTACACAAATAGTGTTCGTATTCTTTATTTTCTAATTTCAAGTATTTATATGGCTAAACTACACCATGATCACTAATGTTTGAGTAAGTTTAGTTTTTCCCACTAAAATTTTAAAAGTAACAAATTTTACGTTATCGATTTGTAACAAAATGATTACTCCATCTTTATCTCCGTCAAATTGATGACGTAAAAACGTTAATATTTAGTTTTACCCTAAAACTATTGTTAAAACATCAAATAATTCATTGAACAATGATTTTATATCAAATTTACCCTAAAACTTTTTAATTTGTATATAGAAGAGACTATATTCTCCCTTATCGGACAAAAACAATAACATATAGCTAACACCGAGAATTATGAGCAAAAGTGAAACACGTTTATGATTGTTTCTTCACCAGAAATTGAGTTCACCATAGTTATGATTGCTATACCTTGAATCGAAGTGGATATTACATACAAATTTACTCCAAACACGGCTACACACAAACAATAATACAAAATAAAGAATGATTAAAGCAATGTCAAGAGTTTAAACATTAATAGTATTTGGTTTCCTTTGACTAACTATCTATAACAAAATCTTAGTTTTGCTAAAATTAAACAAACCCATAAAACAAATTCACTGTAAATCGGCATATTAGAATCAATTGTGATATTTAAGCATGGTAAAATTATGGTCCAAGAACTAAAGAAAGAAAAAATTCTCAATTGTAAATAAAGTGTATGTGTTTTATATCTGGGTATAAGCTTATGCAAACTAGAGATCTAAGAGTTAGTTAGATTCAAAGAATATTTTTCTATATTATCGTGGTAGTTGTATTATTTTTCGGATGAAGAAATATTGGAGGTGAAGATACTAATTTTTTTATCCATTTGTTTTTTATTTTTAATATTATTTTTAATATTATATTTATACTATTTTATTTATTTTTATTATTATATTATTATTATTATTATTATTATTATTATTACAAATAGGCCCAAAAACAGAGCCCAATATCCAGAAGCCTGTTTTACAACCAGAACCGGCCCAATTTACAAGCCCAACCCGGTCTAGTCTTAAAACTAACCCTAAACCCAATTAAGGTTTATGTCATCACAACTCCAGCCGCCATTGCTCACAGTCGTTGGATCTGGCCTTGATCCAACGGTCAAGATGCATCCACACAAAACCCTAGGGTATTATAACCCTAGGGCTCTGTTCAGCCACCGCCTCCACGTTGACGCTTCAGTTGCTGCCACGTCTCAGTCGCTGCCACGACGCCAACCGAAGGCTCCAGAAGGCCCAGCCCCAGCCGCACACGTCGCCCCCAACAGTGAGTCACCACTGGAAGTTCGGTGACTCACCGGAATTAACCCATGAGACCGGTCCGAGGAGTGTCTCTATGAGGCTATAAAAGCCTCATTGCACCTGCAAAGGAAGAACACAAAGAGAGCAGAACAAAAAAAACCACCCAACAATCGAGAGGCCAACAGAGCACGGACAGAGAACCCCGGCGGAGAAAACAAAGAGAACACATACAACAAACCAACAACCAACAGTAGCAAACGAGAGGAAAAACTTACTTGTTGGCACGACGGAAAGCAAACGACGCCGGAACTGTAACACCCCAACCCGTATCCGACCCGTATACGAGTCTGAGATGTCACATTGACTTTTAAAAATGATATTCTTACAAAATATCCAAATATTTGAACTCTTTTTAAGAAAATACGATAATATATTGTTGAATCATATTTGCTATAACCAATTTAAGAAAATATACGTTTTATGAACAATAAAATACAATATGAACAATAAACAGTACCGTATGAACAGTAATGAACATTACCATGAACAGTGAAAGTTTTCGAATATAAATTATGCATCGATGCACTACTACAGTGTATCGATGCACTGCTACAGTAACTTTGTAAAAATACGTATAAATTCATAAAAATATAACCTTTCATCGCTATGCAATTACATTTGCATAAATACGTTAAAAATATTATAAAACTCAATTAGAGCATAAATATTTAATTTATCGACTTTGTATACATGCCAACTATTATCATTCTTACAAAATACATAATATACATTTCTTTTCTGATCTGATCTTTGGAAAGGAGGAACTGACCTGTCTTGCATAAATTTTACCAATCTTCCTCTTCTCGAAACCTACGCGTGAAACAATCACACACTAAGTCGTTGACTTAGTGAGGCATATAAAACATAATTATATGTTAACTGTAACTTCTACAATGCATGAGCATTTGATATTACCTTATCATACCAAAGCATATATTATTTTCTGTAATATATACATACATGCACATATCATGTAACATAACATCATTAACATGCTTATCATTTCTCATTTTATCATCAATAATTTCTTTATATACCATATCAACATATAATGTAAACTCTAAATCACACTATTGCATAAACAATTACCAATCTCATATAACAAACACCTTTCACTTAGGAATATACACAGTATCACATATGAATCTTGTAAATACTTTTGATGTCTTTTATAAGCCCATGTACATTACTGAGAACTCAAGGTATGTAAGTATTGTGAGGTTGTGCACTATGCTGTCACCACAGCTCGTATAAATTTGCACCGTAGTGCCACGTAGAATTTGTCCTGAAGGACCGCGTAGAAATGCACCGAAGTGCCATGTAGAATTGCACCGTAGTGCCATATAAGATTGTCCATAAGGACCACATAGAAATTCCTTAAGAATCATATACATATACCAAGGATCAAGTAGGTGTCTCAAAAGATCTTATACATGCTCCAAAGAATACATATACGTCCCGAAGGACCACATAGAATTTGTCCCGAAGGACCACGTAGACACTCGACTTTTGGCATGCCAACTATACCTCTAGGTCTCATGACACATAACATGGGCATTATCTTTTATAATTATCACATATTCACATTAGCACTTAATTCACTTACACGTAGAACATTTTCATATAAATAATATTCATATGTCACATAGCTTATACCTCGTTCTTATGTCTTCTCATAGACATATATTCTTTCTCACATAATCACATAGGTTCATATCATATAACATGTATCATGTGCTGCATATTTATATGCCACATATTTCATATCACTTTGCATAGAATCATATAGCTTATTTCATATAGCTTATAGAATTTCTCCTTTGTTTACATACATATGTCATATGTTGTTCACATATATTCATATATACCTTACATAACACATAAGATAACATATCATGCATATCACATAGTTGATATCATATTTTTCATATATTCATGTACACATAAAGATCATATACATTTTAGAAATTAGTCCTTACCATAATAACTCTGTCATTGGCTCATCGCAAGCCAATGTTTAATCGATAACTTAAGTACAATTAAATTGCACTCACCTTAGCCTTGCTTTGATTCGATCCTAATTCTTTGATTGTTCCAGAATTAGTTTAGGCTCAATATCTACATAAACATAATTTCAAGATGATTTTCAGAAGCCTAAACCTTATAACTTGGTATTAATAACTTAGACTAATTTAATGAACCAAATTTTAGCTTTTCCTTTAGGAGTGCATCGATGCACTATGGGTGCATCGGTACACAAAATAGCTTCGAAATATCCATGCATTAATGCACCCCTTAATGCATCGATGCACCTACCCAGAAATCACTGTTCATTGCACGAAAATTCACTCTTTCAATTTCTATTCTTCAAGTTTCATTCCCTTTCATATTCTTAACTCAAATATACATGCTTAAACTCATTTATATCTATTTATTTCATCTTAAATCTCAAAATTCTATTCTCCATATAGAAATCAATAATCATACCAAATTTTCCATGTTATCCAAACTTAATTCTAACACTTCTAACTTCTTATCCTCATGGATAACAAGTCAAATTCATCCTCCAAATTCATTTAAACCTTCTTATTCAAAATTTCACTTAAAAACCCATTTTATTTATTCTATCATAACTCATTTATCTTTTGATTTTAAGATAACTTAAGCTTTCCTTAAGCTTAGTTATCATCTAATGATCAAAACCCACTCTTAAAATTAACAAATAATTAACAAAATATAAAACTCACATTTGCTCTAGCTTGGGCATGTTGGAGAAGAGAAGAAGATGAAGAAGATAAGTTTGGAAACTTATCTCTTCACACATGCATCACATGGGTATTATAATACCCAATAAATTTTATTTAATTTTTTTCTTGTTCAATGACTCATTTGCCCTTTGATTCTTTTAATAATTACTAATAACCCTTCAGGAAATACTTTCAAATAAATCATTAAACTTTTTAACTTTTCCACTTTAATCACCAAATTCTGAAATTTCAAAATTTAGTCACTAACCCGGTATTGAGGATGTTACAGGAACCGTTGTTTAATCAAAGGTAAAAACCCTCGGTTTATTTTAGATCTAGGGTTATTAGGAAAAACGGGGCCTGAATTTAGGACAAGGGAAATCGGGCTTCAATTTGGGGTGGATTTTGTAATTTCCGACCACTGTTCACGGTGGCCGGCGGCGGCGATCGGCCGGAACACGGCTGCCGGATGGAAACCGGAATCTCTCCGGTGTAGAGAGAAGACAGAGAGAAAATTCCTTCTCTCGTTTAGAGAGAGAAGGAAAAGAGGAAAAATGAGAAATAATGGCCTCTAGGGCTGGTTTTTAGGGTATAAATATCCTCATCAAAACGACGTCGTTTTGATGAGGGTGTATGTGTAATTTCAGAAAGAGTAAACCCTTTCTGCAATACCTGCAGTTTTGTAACTTTACGAATTGGTCACTTAAATCGAGTTATAATCATTTTAATTTGGTTTCTTAATTTTATTTTATTATAATTCAGTCTTTACCTTGTTTATATAATATTTAGGATAAATAATATATTTAGCCCTTATAATTTATATAATTTACATTTTAACCCGATTTAATTAAATAAGGCTAAATTACATTATTAGCACTTATTTTTTTATTTCAAGTTAGAGCCTTTAATTTTAATAATTATTATTTCAATCACTGATTAATAATTAAGGGATAATTACAATATTAGTAATTATATTTTTATAATGATTCAAATTATGTTCATTAATTTAGATATTTTAAATCTTAATCTTGTTGTTTAATTTTATTTAATTACTATTTATTTGCATTTTATTTTTATTATTGTCTTTTTTATTTCTAAATTATTACTTTAATTATTATTATTATTATTATTATTTAGTCATATAAATATATATATAATAAATAATATTTATTTTTAAACATTCTATTTATAAATTTAATTTTATATAAATTACTTTTAAGAAAAATAATCATATTTTAATATTTATTTATTTTTTAATATTAAGAAATGGGTTGTCTTAAAGTACATAAAAGTCTTTTTCTGATATTCTTAAATAAATAAATATTCTATTTTTATAAATTATATATTAATTATTTTGAAAGAAATGTTTTATTAATATTTATTTATTAATATTAAGGAATGAGCTGTCTTAAAGTACCTAGAAGTCATTTTATGATATTTTTAAGTAAATAAATATCTTATTTATAAAAATAAAAATATATATAGATATTAATATATTTTTAAATTATACTAATAAATTGAAAATAACAGGATTATGAATTAAATATATTTTTTAAAATTTTTAATTTCCAATAATAGAGACAATTTATAATTAATAAGTATCAATTTTGGGCGTTATAGGGGTGCTAATCATTCTCTAAATGCAATCGACCACGAATCCTTTTTATTTTTAGTTATACGTAGATCAATTTTATCTTTTAAATTATGTTTTCTTTAAAACTATTTTAAAAGATTGTTTTTAGGTATTTGACCTACCTAACTCAAAAAGGTCAATGGCGACTCCCAAAATATTTTGAAAAATCAAAAATCATTTATTTATTCATTTTATTTTTTCCGCCAAGAAAAAATTCGTGCCCAGGCAAAAACCGGTTACGACAGCTTGGCGACTCCACTGGGGATTGGTCAAATTTTAAAACCAATTATAAGTTGTCTCTATTAATTATAAATTAAAAATTCATATATTTAAGTTATAATTCTTTTTAAATTTTTTATATATACTTATTATTTTTATATATTTATATATATTATTTTTTATTAATGTTTTTTAATTTTATTTTCAGTTATTAAATTTTATATTTATTTGTTTGTCAGAGGTTTGAACATTTCTCCTCACACACAACACGCACATTGTATAACATAAGCTTTATAATCAAGCTTGTCCCTTTTAAGTGGGAGTGAAAGCGACGTCTTCGTGAGAATTTATTCTCCGTGTCAGACTTAACAAGTAACTTTCGGGGTTCATATACTCTATGTCTTCGTGAGAATTTATTATCCGTGTCAGGCATAGGGAAATGTGTCCCCTCGAATTGAATTCGGTCCGCTTACGTCTGTGATGGACTAGGATTAAGGGTTTGGTAGCCTAAGGGGGTACCAACAAGGACAGTTCGAGTACCTTTACTCCTAGAACTGAAACCCTAGAAATTCTACTGATCTAAGACAATACTGAAACCTTGTCCATAGATGTACACAAAGGAGAAATAAGCTCTAGCTTTTAATTTATTTCATTTTTTTCCTAAATAAATTACTGTGAACTAGAAATCATGCAGTTAGGTTAATTTTTCCAAACAAAGCATGGAACTAGAAAGCATGAGGTCAGGATTTATACCTTGATAGATAGGATCTTTTCTTTCCATTAATTGGTACTAACCAATTTATTTTTTCCTTTCTCATTTTTTATTTTGCTTTAACTTTTTTATATTGATTTCCTTTGCTTGTATTGCATGATCATAGCATAATCAAAAGGTGTTGACTTGAATGATTATTCATCAAATTGGAAAGAAATCGTAAATGGACAAATTTTTATGATTAAACAAAATATGATACGGCCAAGGAAAGACATCCTGAGGAAACTCAGAGGATAGAAGTGAGCTATGCATGCAAAGATCCTGTTATATTGATACCAAAAGTATTATACAAAGATCCTGCCAGGTTGATACCAAAAGTAGCCTACGGTAAGAGCATCAGTAGGGGCATTCAGAATAAAGAGGTTTTTATGAAGCTCAAGCATGTTATTTGAATGACCAAAACAAGAAATTGAGAACAGAAATGGAAACCATGCATGAAGATTTCCAGAAGATCAGTTAAGCCTTTCAAAATGTTGGCATAAGAAACACCCTAGAAGAGTAGATAACAGGGGTCACCAAGCTGAAAAAGAACTGCAACATATACGAAGATCTTGTCCAAGAACTTCTTGGACAGAAAGGTTCTCTTACAAGGGAAAATGAGCAACTCCGAGAATTGTTACAGAAGATGAAAGAGAATGTTATGGAAGAAGCTGCAGTCCAGACAAGCAATATGGACCATAAGCTGTTAGACTAACTTGGCTTTAGAGAAGAAAATGGGAAAGTATTCCCATATATGTAAAGTTTTATTGAAGTTAAGACTGAAAGTTGTCCCCTATATGTAAAGTTTTATTTGATGCACGGAAACTTTTGTGTTCAATGAAATCTATTCTAAGATGATCACTCTTGAGTAACACCTTTTCATACATGCATTTGTATTTTACATCTTTGCATTTTCATTTTGCATTTGTTGTTTTCTTTTGTATTGCATAATTTGCATTCTTATTTTTGCATCGTTGTATTTGCATTTTCATCGTTGCATAGTTACATCTATAGTTTCAAACTTACATCATTAAAACATTCATTCATTAAAATAAGGATTTCAACCGAAGTGATCTTTGTTCTTCCTCGTAGCAAGAACGCTTAGCACGACACAAGAAAAATGTCTAAAGAAACTAAGGATAGGCAAGCCAAATTTGAGATAGAGCAAAAAGAGAGGCATGAAGAATTAAGGAGCAAGTTAGCACAAATTGAAGCTAATATCGCAAATTCTCATACCGATCTACTGAACAATATGAAAAAAATGATTGGGAAACACCAGACCACTGAAAAAAGTCTTGTTCAAAACCCCACAAATCCTTTAAGTGTTACACATGTTCACATTCCTGAGCACACCTCTATACACCAAGAAATTCAATCACCAGTTCATTTTGCTGTTAAGAACTCACAATATCAAGCTGGAGCATCGTACCCCACTGATTGTCCTATTGCTTCTGGGTTGAAGCCAAATGAATTTTATACTGCTTCTAGAGAGACGGTTGAGTCATTTTATGGGTTTGACGCCAAAGAGCTGAGTTTGGTCCCCGAATTAGTTCTCCCACCAAATTTCAAAGTTCCAGATTTTGAGAAGTATAATGGGACCACATGCCCTTCATATCATATCACTATGTATTGTCGTCATATGACTGGCTATTTGGAGAATGAAAAGTTATTAATCCACTGTTTCCAAGATAGTTTATCTGGGTCTGCATCCAAATGGTATAATCCGCTAAAACGTACTCAAATACGTTCTTGAAGGGATTTAACTCAAGCTTTTTTGGGTCAATACAAGCACATGGCTGATATGGCCCCTAATCGAACAATGTTGCAAAACATGAATATGAAGTACAATGAAAGCTTTCGACAATATTCACAACGATGGAGGGACGTGGCTTCTCAAGTGCATTCACCATTGACTGAAAGGGAGTTCACTATTTTGTTCATCAATACATTAAAATTTCCTTATATTAATCACATGATAGGGGTTATCCCTAATAATTTCTCTGGCGTCATCATGAGTGGAGAAATGATCGAAATAGCTATAAAAAATGACAAGATAAGAGGATCTGACAATATTGAAGTCGAGAAAGAAGCTGAGGTTAATACAATGAGACCTTATTCAGTTAAACATGGTGCCAAACCTTATAGGGTGATCAAGAAGAAAAAAATATACAGGGTTTTCATTTCCTTCCTTCCACTGTTCAAGTGAAAAATTGCATCCAAAAATGCCCTCAGCCAGATTAACTACTCTACGACTTGTTCAATCACAGTGGTCTCCAAATAAGAATTGGACCTATGAGGAGGTTCCTTGTATAAATCGAACTGAAATTCCAAATTGTTCAGCTAAGGTTCCTGGTAACCTTGAAGGAAATTTCCAAGATCCTTTAGAGCAAGCAATTTAAAAAGCAAAGTAAAAGAAGATTCAATACTCAGAAATCATTGCCTCAACAGAGACTAATGTGACCAAATCCTGCGAAGAATATCGGGCGCAAGAAAATGGGAAAAGAAATCAAAAGGCTCCCATGGAGGTAACTCGAGATTGACCCATAGGTCTAAGAAAGAATGAGGCAAATATAACCCAGAAGACACCTCAGATACCTATATCAGATTTTCCGAAAACCAGTAAGGCAAGGGGAAACTTAAGGAGTCTAGTTAATACTACTCCAGTTGTAGCTGAAATGAGCATCCAAAATCCCCTCGATCACAGGAGAACATTTTGTCGTTCAAAACGATCAAAGAACGTGATAATCTCTCGAGCGAGAAAAACTATGAAGGTGTTTCAAGAATCTATCTCAGATTTGTATCCTCATTTGGTTAAAGGCCAATACATTACACCAAGATTGGTGAAAGTGGCACCAAATCCTTATGCCCGTTGCTATGATCAAAATAGTTTCTGTAATTTTCACCTGGGAGTATCTGGACATTCAACAGGGAATTGTTGGTCACTGTTAAAAGAAATAGAGACGCTCGTTGACAAGGGAGTCTTGACACAAGAAATGATCAAGAAATGGGGGGCAAATAAAGATGAAAATCCTGGGCCAAGTACACACCCAACATTAAAAGTGTAATGAGGCATGATAAATAAACAAGTGGAAGTTGTTATCTACCACTGTAGTACCTTTCTATTTTCAACATCTTGTTTGAATATTTTTTTGTTCCTTTCTCCGCCTTTTGTGCGATAAATAAATTTGTGTTGCTTTTATGGTTATGAGGAAGGAATTAATTTTTTCTTGAAATTTTTTAGTATCAAGTAAGTTAAATATTCTTTTTTAAGAATTATATATCTTTGGAAAGTGGTAAAATTATACCTTCCATATCTCATCCAATGCCAATTACTTGATCCTTAAAAACCCAAATCTTGACTATACATTTATCTGAGACTCAAAAATAATGCCTCTACCTATTTTTGAGACATAAAATTCAGATGTTTACCTTCTTGGGTAGAGTTGATTGTTGATTGGTTTATAACAATCCACCACATTTTACCTTCCAAATACAAAACCATCATAAACCAAAAGACCTCAAAAAAACTAAACTTTCAATTATCCGTGAATCTTCGTGCAAGAAGAGACGAGATGAGGCATTATGGATTAATTTGTTGAAGAAAATTCCGAGTGATTGGAAAATGCTCAAAGCAAGAAGAAGAAAAAAGATTGAATACTTATATCAAGCATTAATTACATTGTTTTCATATAAATAAAGTTAATCCTGAATATTCGTCCCCTGGGGATACCTCTTTTTACAAAAGCTACGACATTGTTTTATTTATTCTTTCAAATATATGTATGTATATATATATATATCCCTTGTTATCCCCTTTTGAGCCTAAATGATTTTTCTTCTAATTCAACCTTAACCAAGGATCACCCTCCATATTGGGGGGGGGGCAAGAAGAATGATATCTACTCACATGAATAAAGATTGCCAATTACAAAGGCAAATCTTCATGAAATGGAGAGAGTTTTGAACTACAAGGTAGATCAAATACAAAGTGCTTGAAGATCAATCCATTCAAGAATAACGAAAGAATTTCCAAAATGCAAGAGAAAAAAGAGGTGCTCAAAGCAATTGACGTCCTATACTCATCCATAAAAAAAGGAAATGAACCCATAAAATTGACTGTCTAGAAGGATCCAAAAAAGAATGACAAGCAGCAAAGTAGATCCAAGTCAAGCAAGGCAATATTGAAGGCATCAGAATGAATTAATCCTTGGTTCAATTACCCTTAAACACTTGTTTGAGCCTTTTTATCCCTTTCTTTCGTAACCATGAGCCTTGGCCTACATTACTTACCTGAAAAGTCCATTCTAATCATACATGGATTTCTATGTGAAAGAGATTATCCTCATATTTCATCCTCCTCTTAGGATTGATTTTTATTTGCAAATTTTTTATTTATTATTATTTTTTAAAAAAAGCTTTAATGCATGATATGAAAAATAATAAAAGGGGGTTCAAAATGTAAATTTTTAAATAACACCTTGGAACCAAAAGAGGATTCGAGTTGAAAACCTGAAAAGGTGGCTCGAATATTGAATGGTGCAACAACGACATAAGAGACGATCTTAAGCTCTTGATGAAGCACCGCACATCCCAAAGATGCTCCTGAGATTCTGGAGTCAAGAAGTATCTCTATGAGATGATCATAACAACCATTCCTTCAAGATAGTGGAAGTTCAAAGATACATATATCCTGGACCAACCTAAACAGACCTTACTTTACTAGAATTAACTTAAACCTTAAATCAGTCAATAATTTTGACACTTGCCATAGGACTATGATTTTTTTGATTTAAAAGCGCAATTGATTTATTTGATATTCATTAAATTCATGCTTATGATTTGATTCTATTGTGAACCTGTGATAGGCAACATTTTGCAAAATTCTTTTATTCTTTGATAAAGGAAGGAGAAAAAACATTTTCAAATAGGATAGTCTCAAATGAATAAGGTCCTTGAAGCAGGTTATTGTCTATTCTACCTCTATTGAATAAAAAGAATGAACGAGGCCATAATGATGAAGCAATTCACTTTCTTGAAAGTAAGTGGTCCAAGAAGCCAGAAAGTCTAGAGAATTGAACTTATGACGCTCTCCTGTGACATTATTAGCAACTCATCAAGAAAGATTATCACTTATCTCATGTTGAGGGCAATAAGCATCACCAGACAAATTATTTTCCCCAGCTATCAATCCATGTTCTCTAGAAGATTACATCACAGAGCTATAAATCCCATGAAGCTATATTATGGGAATGAATAAGTCCACTATATGCACTCTGGTTATACCGTGATACTGGTTCAGATCTTGATGCATCATTGTTGCCTCTTCCATGTCGATTATTTTCCTTGTCCGGATTTTATTAATTATGTCCTCCAGAAGATTACTGAACTTAAATTTGATATCGGAACAGATTCTACACTTGTATGCATTTCATATTGGGTAACATTGGTTACAGGATTCCAAAAGTAAAGATAACCAGTTTTACTATCAATTAAACCTTTCCATGGTTCGGGAAGAGTGAAATATGGCAGTGAGTATCTTGGAGCAGCAGAAGAGACAGTCACTGTAGCAGTCATTGCAAGAAAATGCACCAACAAAAATCCTCTAGTTCATCCAGATGATGTTTATTTCTTCCAGTAAGTTTGTTAAACGGGATGCCACCGACAACAAGATCGAATATGTCTAATCTACTCATCAATTACTCCAACCGGTTACCAGTCAGTTCTTTCGCATATGTTTTCAAAGATATGCCAAGACAGTAGAAGGTAACCTTTGCATCACTGATCCCAGAGAAAAGAGACAAGACATTGATATCACCGAGGAACATGTCTCTAACAGATCTCCTCCTCATAAATGGTTTTTAGGGAAACCTGGAATCATTTCCACCTCATCAGGTTCAAGAGGAACAACTTTATTCCGTCCCACCCATACCAGATTCCATTTTCGGCACTCATCAAGAACATACTTCTGGACACTCGAAGGTGGCTCATCGTCATAAGCTTCAAGAGCCTTACGGATCATTTCTGTCAATTTGGCACTTCCTGTATAGTTTGTAAACAGTTCAACTTTGTTTTTGGATCCCATGAAGGCCATCATTTTTGTCAATGAAAAAGCAACATGTATGGTGCATGGAGGAAACAGAATAAGAGGAAATCTATTCTCAATCGACAGATTATGAATATAGCCCATTTTCAGTGCAATAACACAAAGATACTTTGAATCTACAAATTGTGGCTCTACATCGTATAAGTACCGTGACATTTCGGTCCAAGCACCAACTGGAGCAAGTGGCACGTTCTCGTAGTAGAAATAAAGAGGCCCAATAGCATCTTCTGGAAGTGTTCTTTGAGTTATATGATCTGATTTAGTAGGAACCCCAAAACCAATCATTAGATTTAGAAGATGAACTACATGATCATCTTCATCAAGAAGCTTCTTTTCAAGCTTCTTCTACTTCTTCCTTTTCCAAATATTAGCCCGAGTTTCGCATTTTCTTATAATTGATATCATTGCATAATGGTTTCCTATCTTCTATTGGAAGAAGTGTATCAGTAGCCTTAGCCATTTGAGCAGTACATATAAAATCTATCAACTCTACAATTGATGAATCCATACCACATCTCTCCATGGCTATTGAAGCCTCAGCCTCTAAGTACCCATTTTCGTCAAGTATAACAGTTTATTCTCCTCATCAGAATCAGAATTCAGGATTTTCTCGGTATTAAAAGAACTATCAATATCTGTGAAATCATCCTTAAAGATCACTTCATAATTAGATGAGTAGTTATCAGAATCAACATGTTGCATGATTGCGGACTTTTCAAGAGTTTGTACCACTGTATATGTAGTCTTACTATTACATCAAAGTAAGATTACTGTTCATATAAATTGGTTTCTCTCCCACAAAAATGCATATTCCAGAAATAGCCTTCACTGAAAACAAGGTTCACTGTGTCAGTCTGGAATGAATTACCAAGCGATTTATACCACTCTGTCCGACTAGATCCTTCCAGATCCAAAAATGGTCACCTCATTCAGAAGAGGCACATATCTCAGACATTTCCGTCAGAATGATTGATTATTTCTTAAGTTTGTGACAACATGAAGAGAATTCCTCAAATTACTTGACAACGCTACTATTTTGTAACACCAGAATGAGAATATTCAAGATAAACAGATTTGAGGCACGGATAAAACTACAAGTACCCACAACAGTACATTGTCAAAATTGGACCTCGTGGGGATCATGATATTGAAATCAAACAAACATTGAAAGTAAGCCTTATAATTTAAAAGGTTGAGGGCATTTTGAAGGCCCAATCCAGACAGATCCATGCGAGACATCTTGAAAGCCCATTTCAACCAGAAATAGAATGGTGGGGCATTTTGAAGGCTCATAGTAATATGAATATTTGCGCATTCTTGGAGGCTCATCTTTGCAAGAAGTAATGTTGAGCACACTTTTAACATTTGTATCTGCAAATGTTGAGGCATTTTAAAGGTTACTTCAGACATATCCATATGGGGCATTTTGAAGGCTCAGATTAACAAGAAACAAATGTTGGGGAATGCTGAAAGCCCCTTTCAATCAGAATCAGGAATGTTGATATTTTGAACGTTTTTATTAGCCAATGTTGAGGCATGCTGAAGAACCATATCATCTGATGTCAAGATCATTGATTTGAGAAAATATTTCCAATGAGGCGGAAAGGTATAAAGAATGAAAATTGTGAAACAGTGGCAGTCGAGCTGACTATATATAATTGCTTAATTCATCAGGCAGTTGCATTAGGGTCTATTATTGAAAAAATATCTACTCAGCAAGTATGGTTTCAAATACCCAATCTTCTCAACCATATGTCACATGACAGCGTGTTCTTTGTTAAGCTACATCACGGTTGCATGGATAAATATGGTCCCCAGGCAGACTATTCGATCCAAGGTTCAATTCAACAAAATATCGACTTTGAATTTTGTATTCTGTGTGTCGGTGATGATTGGAAATATTTCTTTGAGATTCCTGGCAGTTAGTTTCAACCATACTATTGAGGCTACGAAGTCATTTTTCACATCAGTTTTCACTTACTTGATGTCATTGAAGAAAGAGGCTCATCTTACGTATGTTACTCTTATTCCTATTATTATTGGGGTTATCATTACTAGCCATGGTAAACTGAGTTTTCATCTATTTGGTTTATCATGTACGTTTCATCTACAGCAACAAGAATTCCATGGACATTCTTCTGTACATGGCTCCTATAGCTGATGTGTTTCTACTTCCTACAACACTCATTATAAAAGAAAACATGATCGATATCACACTTGCCTTGCTCAAGATGATATCAAGATCAGTTGGCATCTCTTATTCAATTCGTCACCAGACCAACTTGTTGGTCATGAAACACGCCAACATTTCACTTATATTCCCATTGAGTTTTGTTCTCAAACGGTCTTGTGACATCATACAAAAGTTTCAAACACTATGAAAGAGCTTCCATGACCAGAAATCTGTGCAGAAGTCACAGCTGGATGAATGTGTTGTCAAATGTATTACGAGCATCTTAGCAGAAGCCACAGAAAATGACGAATGTGTTGTCAAGTGTTTTACGAACCAATAATTATGGTGTTGAACCAATGTTGCTATCATATGGCATTTCCATTTATAGATTCAAGATGAAGTATGTATTCTTCAACACCAAGCTTTGAAGTGAGATAAGATGAAGATTTCTTTCCACAGAAGGGAAGTAGAAATTTTAACAACAAGAAACTAGTGGAGCCGACTAATGTTGAACGACAGGTTGTTTTTAAGCATCTTGACATGATATGGTCCAAGTTGCCTTGTTCGAGATCTGATTAGATGTGAAGACATGAAAAGAATTAGGATAAATCTTCCTTGTGATGTGTTTCAAGAGTCAAATCAGAACAGACGCTGATCTCCTAATTAATCCCTACTGAGTTTAGCATATCTACATATATTCCTCAAAGATGATAGAGTTTGTAACACCCCAACCCGTACCCAACCCAGATACGAGTATGAGGTGTCACATTGACTTTTCA